TGGACTCCCGGACCCCCGCTCTCCCCGCCCACCGCTGGCTGGGCGGCAGGGCCGGCCCCGGGCCTCCCTCCTGCGGCCCCGGGCCTCCCTCCTGCGGCCTCGGGCCTCCCTCCTGCGGCCTCGGGCCTGCCTCCCTGGGGCTTCGGCCCTGCCCTCTCCGACACCGGGCCTGCCTCCCTCCTGCTTTTTAATATATATATATCTACCCTAGTGTTAGGAATATAATCGTTTGTTGAAGAGAAGTGAGATCTCTCCACCTTCCAATGACACCTGGAGTGGTTCTACGGCTCAAGAAACTTGAGGGACTGAATTGGGCTCCATCCGGGGGATCCCGACACGGAGCAGGATTGATGGCCAAGATCAGACCCAAAAAAGCCACTTCTGTTTGCTCCTCGGGGCAGGATGACACCAGTAGGTGTAGATCATTTTGGTAATTGGGAAGACAGCCAAGGGGGCAAGAAAGGTCAGAATTATGCCTTAGAAGGTAAAAAGTGACCTGCTGGAATGGAATGTGTGAACAGGGGTGGGAAACTTGTAGGATAATTAGAAGCGTCAGAGAGGCTGTAAACCCTGAACTACCCAGCCAGTGGGGAAACAGGGGAGGGAACTTTGCATGGGGAACAGGGAATATAAACCATTATTCACCTTCTTATTCTCACACACACTATCTCCTTCCTCTCCCACACTCCTGGCCTCCTGCCAGGAATAGTCAGGGTGGAGATTGTTGGTCTCCATAGCAGAAGGAAAGACTAGAGGATAGGATGGAGCAGCAAGTAGCAATGAGAGGGACAGTGGGGAAGGCTTGAAAGACAGGACCAGGCAGTGGGTGTGAGATGGAGGAAAAGCAACGCTTTTTTGCACAGGCTTTACTGATGTTTTAGTGATTATTGCCATGGGATCCAATTAGTCAAGGTTGGGTTTGCCCACGCAATGGGGATGCAGCTCCCTAAGGGCTGTCAAGTGTCATGGATGGATGCAGTGCCTGGCCTGGTTAGTCTTGTGCCTGTTCTCACATAATAAAGCCAGCTAGGATATTTTGGTTCCTTTTTCCTCAATGGGAAAAAAATGTCATTCTAGCTAGAATGTCAGCTATGTGGAAAATACCATTTTTTTTCATTCAATAATCGCCTGGCTTTAAAAGAAGCTCTTCTGATTTGAAAATTTGCTTTGGTATCTCTGAGGAGCCGTGAAGCATCTGCTGTTGAGTGAAGTCTTGCCCTTCTGTGGGTGCTCTCTCCAGCTGCCCTCCAAGTGCTGCAGCCAGGGATCCCAAGCACCAGGGGAAGATGAGAGAAGGATGGATGGTGGGTGGTGAACAGTGGCAGGGAGCAATCCATACATAGCTGAGCAATTTCAGCATTCAACATGAGGGTGCAGGTTACAAATCTCCCTAAATCAGCCAATATTTGGGAGCACTTGCATGGTAGAGAAGAAATCTGATGGCAAGTTTATGAATGCTGAGCCCATAATCCATTTGCTTTCTGGTTATACTTGTAACAAAGGGAATCTAGCTCCTGAGATCTCTGCTTGCAGGAGTGAGATCTCTCAGTTACTGTCATCTCCAATCACTGCATCCATGGCTGGTGTGTTAGACAGGAATGAATGGGAGCCAGAGGGACAATAAAAGTAGCTTCTGTGACAGTGAGGAACAGAAATTCTAGCAGCTCATCACGGCTCTTTATTTCAGCTGTGAGCTAAGTTATTGCAAACTGCAGGGCCTTACTGTGTGTGCAGCAAAGGCAAAAGACGAACAACTTGTCAGAACAGTTTAAAGAAGCATTTGCTATTTTATTGCACTTCTGATAGTTGTTTGTTCCTGAAGTAATCCTAGATCTGGCTTTATTACCCCAAATTCATTTTTGGGAACATAACTGATTTAGACAGCAAATATCCGAGCTTTGGGGGAGCAATTTAGCTTTTGGATAAGTTCTTCACTGTCAATAAGATATGTGTGTGTCCCAGTTTTTTGAAGAGATTCAAATGCAAGAACACTCTTTGCTCGCAGTTTTAGAATCGAGGGGAGTTGTTGGGAATCAGAAGTGTTGCATCTGATTCTAACTGGGATTAAACATTTTGCTTTTTAAAAGCATAAGGAAAAGTAAAGTCTGTATAGATAGTGGAGGGAGAGATCACCAGAGAGGCCTTGTGAAAAATGAAAAAATGATACAATTCAAGTTTTTTAATAGAAGGAAAAATCGCTTCTATCTAAGGAACACTAAAAGTGCTTGCACAAAACTCTTGTTGCACATCAGCACTGTGGGAATGCAACCAAGAAACCAACTGTTTGGGCCCACCTGTTTTATTCAGGCCTTGTTTTTCACCACAGTCTCTTACGTGATTCATTTGTTTTGTCCATTCTGCAGGTCATGGGTAACACACAGGAGTGGAGTGTTTTGGCTCCATAAAGAAGGGAAACTTCTGTTCTAAATCTCCTAGTGAATGGTCTGAGCTGCTGGGCTGATTAATAAGTAGCTCATCTATCTATGCTGTATTGCACAGATGTTAAATATTTGGCAGCAAGAGGTATAAAAGTGTCTGGCTTTCCCCAAGCCACTCAATAACATTTGGTTGTGAAACCAGGTATCTGTCTGCTCTGGTTCTGAGGGCTCAGGTTCAGTCAAGCTCCTTAAGAAATTCCATTGTGGCAGCTGAGCCACAGAATCGGTCCCTGTGTACACCCCTGCTCCTCAGCAAGTGTGAGATAATGCAGCTTAGCTTAGTCTGAAATGACAGAGGGTTGGACTGAGTTATCTTCTCTTCGCCCTGGGCTAACAGCTTGGATACTGTTTTTGCAGTTGTCCAGAAACTGAACGCTGAGGATCTGACAAAGCTGGGACACAGGACTGAACTTCAAAAAGCTCTGGTACAGAGAACATCTCTCTGTGTATATACACTTAAGTTTTATCTGTCCGCCTGTCTGTCTTATATTATGCGGAACTCATGCTGCCTTTGGCTCTCTTATGTTGGCTCTGCTCTTCCTGTCTTTCTATCTCACCATTGACTTCTTCCTTCTGACTGTTGCTGTGGTAGCTGCTGGAAACTCCTGATTTGGGCCAGGATCCCATAGATACTGTACAGACATAGCCCAAAGACTGACTTCTCTCTCAGGACACTGGGATTAAACACTGCAGCAGTCTGGATTTCTTCCTCTGTGCAGCTCAGGTTCTTAAAAAGATGTTGCTTTATTCTGTCCACGGAGATATCTACAGGTCCATGGAAGAACTACTACCCTTGATTAATACCTGGGCTTCTTGCCAATATAAATGCTGGAGTGTTTGCTGTGACTTCAGATTTGCTGATTAGGCTTCATTTCCAACTGGCAGGTAGTTTGAAAACACCAGAAAGATATGTCCTTTGCAGGCTTTAAGCCGATTAAGTGGGGGAGAGGGGGTGTTGTGAAGTGCATCCAACTTCTGCAGTCAGCAGTACTGTGTGATGAATGTCACCATAACCTAGAGAGAAGTAAGATAATGAAATGCATTTATTTCTTCCAACAATTAAGTGCTACCATGGCCTGGGGAAGGCTTAGAGCCAGCTGGTAAAATTTATGTTGAACAGTATCAGGCCTTAGATTATCATCTACAGTAAAACAGCTACAAAGAGTGTGGAAGTCAGATGTATGATCTGAATGTTTATCTGCCATTAACAGATGGTATGGTATGTTAGATCTAGGATCATCCTGGATTTTTATCAGTCCAGAACTGAATCTATTGCTATTGATACTGTTGTCACCTTCAAAAGGAGAGTCATCAAATGCAAAATCCAGGAACCTAAGAGCTGACAGAAATAAAATAGTAGAAAAAAAGTGACTCAAGATCATGTCTGTGGTCTGATAACCCTGTTGTGGGCAGGATATGTGAAGCAATTTAGTGCCAAAGAATGTGTCTTAACTAATTGCTTCTGGCCCCCTCTGCAGTTTAATACAGTGTGTCATGTACCACTTTCCCTCCCACA